GAGGGGGCAGAGAGATAGAAACATCAATGATGAGTCATCACTGATCGGCTGCCTCCTGCACGCCCCCGAGTGGGGATCAAGCCCGAAACCCAGGCATGTGCCCAGACCAGGAATCCCACGGCAATCTCCTGGATCCCAGGTGGATGCTCAACTGCTGAGCCAAATCCGGCCAGGCCAGGCCAGGCCAGGCCAGGCAATGCATTTTAAAACACCTAACACACTGAAGAGCAAACAGTGAAAACTCAATAAATGATGTTATAAACATCAAATGATCTGTTTTGAATAATTCAGTGTTTTTGTACTTAAAAGTCTGCCAAAGATTTCTTATACTTAATAAGTGATATTTCTAACATATTAAAATGAATTTAGCCTAATAGGTTAGAAAATACCTTGTGGTCTTCCCCCCACCCCTTTTTTATACTTTTTGACCAGATAAATGTCAACCATCAAAAAATTTGGTTTATACATAAACTATTAAAATAAAAAATAAACATGGATAATAAATTAAAAATTCAGAAAACAAAGGGAAAATTCATTGGGATAACTTATCAGTCCTCATAAATGCTCCTGAGTTTTCTTTGTCCGTTAACAAAATATTTCTTAAAGACAAAACACTTTGGCCTTAGAACTATTTAAAAGCAGGTAAGATAATGAACTAGATAAACTCCTGTAATCAACTTGTTCTTTAGCTTCAGGCTTAATGTAGTAATAAGAAATGACTCACACCAACATGAAATCACTATGCTATCCATCTCCTGAACATATAGGCATCTCCTGAACAGAATCAGAAAATATGGGGTATAAGTGTCAATTTTAGATGTTATCAGAACACATGCAAAAGGCAAGTGGCCGTTCATATTTACCTTAGCAATAAAGTTTAATGTTTTGTTCACTAAAAAATACAAACTATATTCAGTACAACTGTTTCTAAAAAGAGATTAAGTAAATAGGCATTTAATTTCTTCCATTCTACACTAGAGCAAAAGTTTCTTTGGAAAGAAGTTTCCTGAAGCAGTTTAAGATTCTGTTTATTTTTCTAACATGAGTGAATCATATGTAATACTTATCAATCTTTAATGAGTGCACAAACATAGGAAGGTGTTAAATTGGAGATCTTAATATAAGATAAATAAAATGGAATAAAGGTAAGACACAAAGTACTACACATTCTTTGGTTGCAAAACACTATATGAAAATAAAATATTTAACTACATCATACTATACAAACTTGTGTGATTTTTTTTCTCCATTGTATTTGTGCAAAACATGAATAGACCCAGTTTTTAATCTACTCCCTGAGGAAGCTGTATTTTAAACACGAGAAACATATTATGGGGAACACCTCAGTCACAGACATTGTTCTCTACAACTAAGAAAACCTAATTCCTTATTATCTTTCCTGAGTTCAAAAATATGCATTAAAGCGAAATAATGTTTGTGTTTTTAAAAGCATTAAATACAGATACGGTAGGCAAATTTTTTTCCTTCAGCGTTTTGGAGGTAGGACATGAAGAGAGAGGGGCCACGAGGAGGGAGGGGGCATGAATAATGGGAGTCCGAAGGTGGGCTCCAGATATTTTTACAAGTACATTGGGTTAAGAGAACTAGATGAAGGCGGCGGAAAAAAGTCACAGCGTTCGGGCTCACATTAAAAACAACTCTCGCAAGAACGCCAGTGTTGAGATCGCGGCATTCCTGATACTAATTAAGAGCGCGCTACAATCCCAAATCTTAGCAAAGCCAATATAAAATCCCAAATCCGAAAGGGCCTGCAGAAACCGGGGCGGGGCTTGGGTCTATCTCAGCAGCGACTCAAGTTAACTTTCTAGGAGAGTAAACCACCACCCATCAATCCCTTACGGTCTTCCCCGAGAGATGCTGCGGAGCGCCTCGCCCCAGGCTCGGGGTCTGACCCGCGGGCCCGGGGGCCGGGTGGGTCGGGGAGTCGCTCTCTCCCCGTTACCCCGGGTCCGGACCAGGAGCTAAGGGACCAGTGCTGTAACTACCCCCGAGTCCCGTCCCCCCCCACCGGCTGGGGCGGCCTCCTGCCGCGCCCAGGGCCCCGGGTCGGCAGGGATGCCTCCCGCCCCGCTCACCCGCCCGGGTGGTGTCCGTCAGGTCGTGGTTGGCCGCTCCCCGGGGAAACTCCCTCAGTTTCCGGCCGCTCAGGCTCAGCACCCCGGTTACCGCCGCCTCCTCCAGCGCTCGATCGAGGGAGCGGCTCCACGAGCCCGGGCCAGGACCGGGACCTGTCCCGGAGCTTGGACCGCAGTTAACACCGGAAAGGTTACCTCCCGACGCCACTGGGCCAGAACATTCTGCAGCCGCGGCCACGGCGACCAAGCCCGCGGCCGCCATTTCCCAGCCGACAACTGCCCGACCCGCCGGCTCCGCGCATGCGCGGCCAGAACTGATGGGTGGGCGGGGAAAGGGACCTACGGACCCCGGCCGGTTCCCTTGATGGACGGAGCTGCGGAGCCCTCAGCGCGTCCGGGCGCTTGCCTCCGCCCACGAGGTTTTGAAGGGAAGATAAAACACAAATCTGGAGCAGCCGTCAGTTGCAACAAAAACGTCTTTAAGACGACGCTCCTTACCAAAACATCTCTGCCCTTTTCCCTCAGTACTGGAGGATTAGATTAAGCATTAAGTGAAGGCTTCTTAACACTGTTGCTGCCATGAACTTGGGCAGGGAAGGGGACTGGGATAAAAAAATTTCCTAACTTCTGTCATTCTGTAAGCCAAATGATACAAATGGAAACTTGTGGATGTATTAACTATTATTGCCTGAGGGAAAAATAAGGGCTAAACTGGCCCTCAAGCTCGACAGGTCTCATTGAAAGGGTTATATAAATATTTTAGGCCCTCCCTCACTATTATAAAATAGTTTTGTTTTGTTTTTTAAATATACCTTTATTGATTTCAGAGAGAGGAAGGGAGAGGGAGAGAGAGATAGAAACATTAATGATGAGAGTCATTGATCGGCTGCCTCCTGCATGCCCCGGACTGGGGATTAAGCCTGCAACCCTGGCATGTGCCCTAATCAGGAATCAAACCTCTGGCTCCTAGGTCCATGCTCAACTGCTGAGCCATGCCCCCCAGGCTATAAAAATAGTTCTTAACAAAAATAAAATGAGCATCTTAAATAGTACTTATCCTTTAGGCACCAGGATGAATGGCATTAAAGTTTAAAATTTTGGTCTGGAACCAAAATTGAAGAGAAGATGATCTGACCATAATCTAAAATGTGGGAATTAAAGGTAGAACTGAAGAAAATGGTGAAAAATGAAACCAATTAGTTTCAAAAAAGTGGAAAATACCACATTTTCAAACAATTAGATTTCACTTATATTGCAGTCTTTAGCATATTCTTGGTTTTTTTCTTTTTTGCGCATTTAAGCCATTCCTGTTACATGATGCAGATTTCCCCAACAATCATCAAGTATTTACTGTGGGAAATAGAAGAGGCTCTCAGTCCTTTTCATAGGTTATAATCTAATGATAAAATCCAGACAAATAGACCAATTAGAGAACAAGACAACAAAAAAGGCCCAAGTAGGGGTGGTGTGGATAATCTATCAGGATTCAGAGAAAAAGAATCTCTATCATGAATGAGTTAGGTTTTGAATCAAATCTGTATTATTAAAGTGAGGTAGGCTGGAAGGCAAGAGTAATATTCCATATTGGGAGGATCAGCATGAACAATCCCAGGTATTATTTATAATGGTATATGTGAACATTAGAGCCACAGGCCAAAGTTCATGTCAGAGAGCAAAAGAAAGTATGGTTGGCGAGATTCAGAGAGCAAAAGAAATTATGGTTGGCAAGATCCTACGCATCATTCAAGGCCCAACTCTTCAATGCAAACTTGATTAGCACTTCCCCCAACTCCTAATGAGAAGATTTTAAAAATGTTTAAACTCAGTGCCAAAGGTGATTAGCAACGGCTGCTCGGAGTTGGTCTATGAACTCAGGACTATATGTTAGGTTCTTCAGCAACAAACTTCATGTTCAATTATCAATATCCTTTATGAGCATGGGTCACTACAATGGCAAGTGATATATTTGTTATTCCTGGCAAATAACATTTATCCAATGCATGAATTTGGTTTTTATTATTCTGGCATTCCTAAAATTTTCTTACTTGTAGAAATATTTTAAGCTATTTAAGAGCAGGATCTCAATTTTGTTTTTTAGAGATACGGTGTTTCAACTACAATGACTGAAAGCATAATCATATATTCCATGCTAATGCTACCCTACAGAATTAGTTGACAGACCTTTCTAAAAGGCACCATTATGTCATCTGTATTTGATTACCTATTACCTTCCACATTTACATTAAAGTCTTCTGGTAAATTCTCCTAATTTGACTTATTCCTATCTACCTGCACATTTCATTATAATTGCAACATTCCACTCTAATCGTGGTCTCTGAATTCCTGGCCAAATTTATAGCGTGATGTTACTTTGTCCACTCAACTAGATTTTAAGGTCCTTAATATGTTAAGCTCTATCATCTTCCATACCTCAGGGCTGAGTATATTAATAGGAGTTAAAAAATATAAAGCAGCAGAGATAGAAGATGGGTTATGTACTAACAAAGTAGAGATTATGTACAAATACAGGAGAGACTTTGAAGGATTAGAGGTTTCACTTACAATGTAAAGGTAGAATATCATCTTGTGAGAATGAGATATAGAAAATGGAGTCATTGTGGGAAGTTCACCAGAGTCTAGTGATGAATAAAAGTGGTAAGAAACGGTTGCAAGAAGGCTGTGAGCAAAAGAGCTACAGAGATCTGTAACTTATTCCACGTTTGCTCTGTGGTCTGGCAGTAGTTGAAAAAATAGGCAGTGGGAGTCATTATTTTATTTTTTAATTTATCTTTATTGTTGAAAATATTACCCATGTCCCCTTTTTCCCCCATTAACCCATTCCACCCCTGCACCCACAACCCACCCCAGGCCTTCACCACACTATTGTCTGTGTCCATGGGTTATGCATATAAATTCTTTGGTTAATCTCTCCCCATCCACCCACCCATCCCCATCTTGCCTCTGAGATTCATCAGTCTGTTCCATGCTTCTTTGTCTCTGGATCTATTTTGTTCCTCAGTCTATTTTGTTTATTAGATTCTACATATAAGTGAGATCATGTAAAACTGAGTAAGAATCAGAAAACCTGAATAGGCTAACAACAACTGATGAAATCAAAGCAGTAATAAAAAAAACAACAAAAAAACTCCTCACAAACAAAAGCCTTAGTCTGGATGGCTTCACAGGGGAGCTTTCTAACTAAGTTGTAGGGTTAAATAAATACTTATCTATTGCCATTTTAATTCTTTATGCCTGTTTTTCTATTTCTACTTTTAATTACAGCAGTTCCTTTAACATTTCCTCCAATGCTGGTTTGGTAGTGATAAACTCCTTCAGCCTTTTTTTGTTTGGGAAGCTCTTTATTTCACTATCTATCCTGAATGAGGAGAGTCTTGCTGGATAGGGTAGTATTGGTTTCAGATTCTTATTTTGCATTACCTTGAATACTTCATACCATTCCTTTCTGGCCTGTAGTTTCTGATGAGAAGTCAGCTGACAGCCTTATGGGAGCTCCTTTGTAACAGATTGCTTTTCTCTAGCTGCCTTTAATATTGTCTTGAATTCTCGGCATCTTAATTATGATGTGTCTGGGTGTGGGCCTCTTTGGTTTCTTCTTGCTTGGGACCCTCTGAACTCGTGTGAGTTTTTCCTTGACCAGGTTAGGGAAGTTTCCTACCATTATTTCTTCAAATTCTCTATCCCTTGCTTATTCTCTTCCCCTTCTGGTAATCCTTTAATGTGAATATTGTTGTTCCATGTTGTCCTACAGCTCCCTTAAACTGTCCTGTTTTTTAATTTTTTCTTCTTTTTGGGTCCCTGATTTTTTTCCTACCTCATGTTCTAATTCACTGATCTGATCCTCAGTTTCCTCTAATCTGCTGTTTATTCTTTCCAATGTATTTTTTATTCCTGCTATGTTATTAATTTCCTTCATAGTTTCCATATCTTTTTTCATGCTGTTGAGCATCCTTACAATCAGTATTCTGAACTCTATAGCTGATAGACTGCTTATCTCCATTTCCTATAGCTCTGTTTCGGGAGATTTCTCGTTTCATTTGGGGATTTTTTGGTCTCCCCATTTTGGCTGCCTATCTGGATTTGTTTCTGTCAGGTAGATCTGCTAGGACTCTCAGTCCTTTTGGAGGGTCCCTGATGTGGGCCGATGTCAGATGCAGTTTGTGACTGGCCCAGAGTATCCTGTTTGGAGCTATCAACAACCCTCAGCTTGAGGTCTCCCTTGCTGCGGCTGGGTGCAGTTGGACAGGACCAAGATGCACACCAAAGTCTGCTTTTCCAACACCTGGGTCCAGAAGCAGATTAGGCAAGGACTCAAAGCACTCTACCTACAGGCTGATTAATCTGATTCTCTTAATCAGCCTCAGGCTGTAGAAACTTTGAGGGGTGGGGCGGCTGATTGTTTTCAGTTTCTTAACAAGCCTCAGGCTTTAGAAACTCCTTAGGGTAGGATGAGAGGTTTTCCAGCAGGGTGGGGCACTTGTATACCCCCCTTCCCCCCAGGCAAAAGCAGCAAAATGTCTACCTGAGAAAGATGTCCTCTGCAGCGTGGGGGAATGATGGCACAGGAATCCAGATAGATGCCTTCTGATCTCTCCCCCCAGAGCCCACAACCCCAGATTCTCCCCACACAGATCCAGCCCATTCTGCCCTCCCTTTGCTGGAGCCCAAGGTGAGTGCCTGCACACAAAACTGTGTGTTGACTCTGTAAGAGGGTGCCTGTATTTCCAGCCCATCTCTCCCTGGCAGACAGAAACCCTGCTGCTTTTTACAGCCAGATGTTATGTGGGCACCTTTCTCAATTCTGGTGCTCTTGGCTAGGAAGCTCAGCCTGAGGTTTAAACCTCAGTGCTTAGTGGGAACCCCCCAAGCTGGTATATCCCTCTGGACCTTCAGCTGCTGCCTGTGGGAGCCCAGCCAGCCCTCTTGCACCTCCACACTTCCTACCAGACTCTATACGGTCTCCACTTTTCCTCCTTGGTTATGAGGGTGCTCTCCAGCTCATCTCCAGTTGCAGCTGATTATTCAGTGATTTTTCTACATTTTAGTTGTAATTCCACTTTGGTCCCAGGAGATCATCAGTCTATTATTAGTTTTAAAAATGTCTTTACTGATTTCAGAGAAAAGGGAGAGGGATAGAAACATCAATGGAGTCATTGATAGGCTGCCTCCTGCATGCCCCCTAGTGGGGATCAAGCCCACAACCAGGGTATGTGCCTTGACCAGGAATCGAACCGCGGTCTCCTGGATCATAGGTCCACGC